CCTTAATTTTTCCAACAAAATCTAACTATATTCTCATAATGGCTTGGGGAGTCGACAATATTTATGAAAATTACCCAGGCAACAAGTATATCTTTTTTTTTTCTATACACAAATCTTCTATAACTGAAATCTAATTTAACACGCCTATGATAATTCATTCACCTAAGCATCATAACCTACAGTGACTTCCTTAATTCGTGATTTAAGCTGCCAATTATATTAAAGTATTTTAACTTATATCCTTTCCTTATACTGATTAGCACCACGTGAGGTCTGTATTAACATTCTAGAAGCTATGTGTATATTATGAAAGACATTTTTTTAAGAGCTTTATATAAGATGAAGTTGAGGAGCTCATAAATAAAGGGCAATTGTATGTATGAATTATATATATATATATATATATATATATATATATATATATATATATATATGTGTGTGTGTGTGTGTGTGTGTGTGTGTGTGTGTGTGTGTGCCTGTGTGTGTGTGTGTGCGCGCGCGCTCGTGTGTGTGTTTGCATTCATGGATCAGTAATGATGTTTAGTTATTGATATTATGATTGGTAAAGAAAAAAAAATTCAGATAGGCAGATTTTGAATTGCTTTGTGAATTTAGAAAAAAATACATATAACAGACCTCATTTGTCTCTGCCATCATGTTTATCATCATTGGCGTAGGAGCCAGGGGGGCTGGGGGGCCCCAGCGGGTAAATGCTGGTTGAATTCGGGCAATTTTGGGCAATGGGCATAGAAATTGGAAATTATCCATTTTGCGAAAAAGATATTGGTAAAAAGTTATATTATAGCAACATAGATATTTTAAGAAGGGGATTTAAAAAACAGAAAACTTTTCTTAGCACACTGAGGCCTTTCATCTGTGCGAAAAAGTAGACGTGTTTCCTTTTTATCGGCATATAATATAGACGTGGCCTGTTCTTCAGGACCCAAGGACCAAAGGACCTTCTGTCAGGGGCGTAGATAGGAAAATTCATAGAGGGGGCGAGAAATGATATCCCGACAAAAATTTGACACAAATTCTCATTTTTTATTATTTTGAACATAACATAATGCCACTAGAACTAAACGAAACAGAAAACCATCGTTATTGTTCCGACAAGTGCAGAAATTTTCCGACAAGTGTAGAAATTTCCCGACAAAATGGCAGTTTAGCCTTATAGGTGGGTTTTTCGCCCCCCCCCCCTTCACCCCCTCTATCTACGCCACTGTTGGCATTCATCACACATTCTCTGGCTGGTGAAATTTCTCTTCCTCTTTCACTCGGGCAGAAAATTTGCAGCCC